GCCGCCCGCGGGGCCCACGCCGCCCACCGCCGACCCGTTGAGCCCCGCGGGCAGCCGCCCGCCCGGGAAGCGCGCCACGATCTCCTCGGCCGCCGCCTGCTGCTCCTGCAGCGACGCGATGGCCGGCGAGCTGTAGCCCTTGCCCAGCCCCGCTGCGAACGGCCCCAGCGACACGGCCAGCGCGGCCAGCACCTGCGCCAAGGGGGGCAGCGCGGGCGTTAGCGCCTGCGGAACAGACAGAACGCTCATGCGGTGGCTGCACACGTGCTGCAAACACAAACTATAGCATGTTCACCTAGTTGCTGAGGTTAGCTTCTACAATTACGTATGGAATGTTGCCTGTAACCCAATTGCCAACCTCTTACAACACCCTCGTAGCAAATGCCCAATGGTTAAATGAACTGTGTAAATAACAGGGCCTTGCCAACAAGATTTTTCACGAAGTTAATTAATTTCATTGGACAGCATCGCGAACCCTTTGTTGGTTTAAATTGTCTCGTCCAATTGAAGTATAGATTTATGATGTTGAATATTAAATTTAAGTATTTTTTAATTAACTGTCCGAATATGATAATCTTTATTAAAACTATCTGAAAAAATTAAACTATCTCAGGTATCATAATTAATGGATGTTTAAGAATAAATTCAAGAGACCTCATGTGTCCTAATAGATGTATTTTTTAATGTATTGTTTATATTGCCACAAACAACTCAAAGGTAGGGGTAATCTGTGATAAATTGCGATTAAAGTCTGAAATACATGAGATTCACTAGAAATACATACACAAATGGGTCTCATTATATGTCTTACATAAACTCTATGCATATTTTAACATCTCGTTGCCATAACTCAAAGGGTTATTTAGAAAATGAATTGTTTCGTGAAAATGGAAACTGCATTTTTTCTAGGAAATGTCCCGGAAAGCTTCCCACGTTCGGCGTCAATACTTGCCAATACATACACACACACACACACACACACACACACAAATGCAATCAGAAGCAGTTACTACACAACCGTCTTTCTTTAGCTGCTGGCTGTAACGCGAGACGAATGCCATACAACAAAACTAAAACCAATATGCAATTTCCTCGAGCCCCTGCGTTTTGGGGGCAAAAAGAAAGAAAGGGGTAGGATTCTCCAACCGATTCGGAGAATAAAACCTCGTCGCCAGAGACGGCCATTGGAAACGGCGCGGCGGTGCATGGCGGGGCGGCGCAGGGTGAGGT